CTCTCGTCTCTACTCTCGTCTCTCTCTCTCTCTCTCTCTTCTCTCTCTCTCTCTCTCTCTCTCTCTCTCTCTCTCTCTCTCTCTCTCTCTCTCTCTCTCTCTCTCTCTCCCTTTTTTTTTTTTCGAGAAAACGCGTTGGAAACGATAGAATTGCTTATTTACGTAACGACGAGAGAGGAATGCGATTCTGGTATGGTTTCTTTCCTCGTATTTACGTATCGACGTATCATCGTGGGACGTGTATGTATATAAAAATAGGTTGAAACAAGTTGCTTATTGATGCAATCTAGCACTATAAATAGATACGACGCAATAAATCAATCTCTGGAGACTCATTCCGAGTTTCCCGGAAGTTCCGCGGGAACCGCGGGGCTGCTTTACTACCCGAGTAATTTCCATTCGATTTTCCCTATGCGAGAAGATAATCTCAAGTTTAATTACTCCGATATTTAATATTACAAAAACTGACGACGGTAGCTCACTTGATCAATCCTGTCACAATTTAATAACATTTCCCGTGGATCGATAATTCGATTACGAGCGACATTAAATATTCTAAATTCTCAGAACTTTTCTCATTTCGAAGTGCAAAGTTTGAAGTTTGTAGTTGTTAAAAAATATCATTTCTGTCCTGGAAATTTGCGAATTATTAAAAATACCCACAGAAATGCTCGCCGAAGAAAGATATTAAATTTTTAATTAAAGAGGAATAAAAACAATCGCGTAATAAAATTTTATATGCGATGAACGTGGGTGAATATAAAATAATTCTTTTATTGTGTTGTGGGTTCAAAAGGTCTCTCTTTTACACACAGGTACACACGGTACCTGTTCTCGCATGATACATTTTAATAAAACTTTCGTCGAGCGACCCACGAAATGACTAATCTCTCAGATCAACGGTATGACGTGAGCAGAAAGCCAGATCTAATCGCACGACCCTAATTCTCTTTCGACTATTTACTTCGCGTGCAAAATGCTACTTCGAAACACTGACTTCGGAAAGTTTCTCGACGTGCCAAAAACAGGACACGTTGTTTTCCCCCGTCATCCTGCGTTATCCCCAAGGTAGACATCGACTCTAAAACGCTTGGACAGTGACCCGGTACGTTCAACATTCGCCAATTGGAACAGTTACTCACGAATTCCCGGAAATTAGCGCGCGAGAAGGGAGAGAAAAGGGACAGAGAGAAATCGAGGGTTCTCTCGCCTTTTTCTCGGTTTCTATTTTTTCTCTCTCAGGAATCGCCCCTGGGGGCTCACCGAACACGTACCGGTGAAACACGTACTCAAGGTCTCTCCCTTATCTTGGATCTACTCCACTTGAATCCAACTGTGGTTTCTACCCTCCCCTTCTCCTCTCCCCTCCTCTCCCACCTAACCGCTGTACCGGTGTCCCTTGCTCATTAATCTTACACTCACGTTCTCATAAGGAAAAGGGTCGCCACTCCAAAGTGTACTGTGTCGTGGCTTAAATGTCAGCGTGCGATTCTTAAGTAGTCTTCACCTTTCATACCCCCCCTCCTCTCTCTCTCTC